CATTCGCCCACTTCTTTTGAACAACTCTCATTTTATGCATCCCTCCTAATCCATCCCCAGAAAACTTCTTAAACTCAAGGTATTTTTGGTCACGCAAGCCAAGCATACATAATCTAGAAAATTACAATTTCTGATACCACAATGGAGCTCTTTGGAATTATTCACTTTCTTGATAATTTGATCTTTGATTTCTTTGAATTCACAACCTTGTTGTTTGATTTTTGGTATCTTCAACTTTTTGAATTTCTTTAGAACTTTAATCTTTTGATCTTCACTTTAACTGCTCCAAAATTCTTACAATTTTTCTTGTAATTCTCTCTCTTTTTTTAACACGCAACTCACTTTTTTTTTCATTTTTTCCCACTCAAATCCTACATGCTTAAGCAGGGGTGCTCAACTTCAACCTTTATTGGTTAAAGATAAAATTTTCCTGGATAAATTTCTGGTACACGATGCTAAACATATTGCATCCCTCAAACTAAGCGAGATTATGTTTTTGTCCAATGATTTCACTAGAATAAAGGAGGCCACAAATGCATTATAACGTATATTGGCTCAACTAAACATTTGGGTCCTCTTAGAATCATCAAATCTAATACTAGCATGATCCCTAATTGCTTTTTACCAAAGTTTCCTAAATTAGATCCTAGTAAATTTATGCAATTTTTAAAAAAAAAAATTAAGCCTAAATTAGGATTCTAAATTGACTAATGTAATGTAACCAACCCCTACCCCACACTTAAATCATACAATGTCCCCATTGCATGTTATGCATGAAAAAGAAAAACACAAAACTAAAGAGGGAGTTAGAACAAACTCCCCTGCAATAGTAGTTGAGAGGTTGAACTTCTTCATTTAAAGCTTCATCTTCAGCTGACTTTAGACATGGGAACATCTTATCCATGCCTTTTGTGTCATTCGTCTCGTGTGGTTGACAACTCTAAATATTCAGGGAAAAGCTTCTTGGAAGTGAATCGTCGAGTCATATAAACGACTCGTCGAGTATAGTCACAGAAAGCCTCGAAAGTGTAAGTATATAGTTAGACTCGTCAAGTGGGTTAGTTGCACTCGACGAGTCATCGCTGGGTGGAAAAAGTAAACGTTCTGCACTTGTTCCAGCTGTTGATAAATCTCAAGAACTTCCCATAACCTCTAGAATTATTTACTCATTTCCCTTAGGACCGGACTCGAAACCTTAGCTCTAAACTTCGCCCTTTCTTGACTCTCTTCCACTTTGTTTTCTTTCTCTCAAACTCTAAACCCTTTATGCAAGCATTCCTAACCCAATATCTGAAAGTCACCAAGGCAAATAAAACATCAAACACATAACTTAAAGTCTCAACTAAGAATTCAAAACACACCAAACAAAAGAAAAACAAAAATAAATTGAAAATTGTTCCATAAGACAAAAAAAAAAAACTAATCATCTTCTTCCTCATCATGGCCATGCACAACCCTGCTCCCACCAGCTCCACTTCACCTTGTATTAATGATCTCGTCCCAAGAATGAATGTAGGGAAAGTTACTCCCATCAATGTGTGGAATATGGAAATGGTCAAAAAGCCGCATGTGGGATTCGTTGCTAAAATTAATACCCCTCGCCATTTGATCTTGGAGCCTCCTCATCTCGACATTGTACCAATCCATTGGCACTTCATCATTGTCCACCGGAATCACCGGCAATTCCTCCTCCACTTCCCGCTCATGTCTCAATCTAACCCTCCTTCCCGGTGACTCGGGCCCGATCATTGGATCATCATGTGGGATAGCATAATGACCACCATCATAGTCTTCAATAATTCTTTCCCTCCGAAAAAGAATGGGATTAAAGGGAGGGGCATGAATTATTGTCATCAAATTCCATGCACCGCGGGTCATCAAACCATATGAGTTGGCTAGCCGGGTGACGAACATGCCACTATTTATTTTGGAGGTTTTGCGATCCTTGACTGCACCCTCCGAAAAGTAAGAGGCCAAACACCACGGAATGTTGCAGAAAGTGTCGGGCATGATGATACTCTAAAGATAAAATACGTCAAGGTTGGAAACCTTGTCGTCTTCCTTCCTTTGATTGATTGTAGTGGATATAAGGCGGTGTGTGGGTGACCTAATGCTCCCTTCTTGAGCCGATTTCAGAATATATAATTTGTTGACGATTGTGTTCCACCAACCAGTACTTGTAATACCATCGGGGAACGCCTTATGAGATTGTTTCAAGAAGGCGCAGAAGATAGCAGTAGTAACTAATGGTCGGTCGTAAATCCCCAATCAACATGCAAGATCAATGACAGAACATTGACGGAATTCGCCCCAAGACAAAAACTAAAACTTGTGGGGTGGTAACAATCGTCTCCTCCTCGGAAAGATACCGTGGAGAAAAATTCCCAGCAGAGTTCTCAAAACACCGACTCTTGAATTCTGAAAACACAATTCAAACAGTTAGGTTCATTATTGAGATAAAATTAACATAAAGTATTAAGATCATGCACGATTCTTATGACTAAATATGTCCATATCAAAATACCCCACATTTGACTTTTGCTTGCCCCCAAGCAAAACTAAATTTTAACATACTAATACCAGGGAACCACACAAGCACTTCTTCATCTCACTTGACGATGAAGGAAGAGTCTATTTTCCTGGGATCTTCTTGATTTTATATCAAAGTTTCTTAGATATCACTATATCCAAAATTTTCTTAATTTGATTCTATCTTTTTCTTTTGGCACATTTAAGCACTGAAATCCTTGAGTTTGTGGGTATTACCAACTTAGACCAAGATTTCACAAAGTTTGGAAAATGATTTTACTTACAATTCCTATAAGTGAATGAGCCATACCTCTATAACGACAAACGGTTTTTGGTTTGCTATAAAGTGTATGAAGGTTTAATTTCATTGGGAAGGAAGAAGTATCTGTTGGATGGGATGTTCTATGTAAATTTTCGTGACTCAAGAAAAGTGATCATCATTTTTTACATGTGGAGATTTAGAGCAGTGACAGTTCCATAACTAGCTTTACACATGACATTGTCTAATTGGAACAACATTTGAATATGAATTTGACATCGGTTATTTAAGGACAACGTGATCATTCAGTTTCCTTTTTCACATTCCAAACATTCATGCAAAAACCCTAATTTCACTTTTCAATAAAGTCTCAAATTCTCTCTCGATCATTCATCATGTTTACCGGAAACACTGTCGATGATCAATTCAACATAAATGACCAAGAAATTTCTCAAGCAACCATGATAATTTAGAGTAACAATCTTTGGTTCAACCCATTGATTTAGGATTATCCTGACGATTTGAATATGCTTGTTCAAGTGATGAATATTTCAATTCTCACTCATGCGTTAACTGCTTCTTTTGCTATTACCATGAAATAGATATATCTGGTTTCTTCAAGTGTTGTGTACAACAGAACCATAGAAATCATCACATTTTAGTTGATATCGAACAAGACCAAACAGTTGAATAAGAAGCAGTTTTCCTAAATCGTGAAATTACCATCAGAAGTTCAGTTGGACGAAGTTACAAGTGAAGAAGTTCTCCACATGTTTAATGAAATTGGGGCATCAAACAACTCTTTCAATTGTTAGTCATTTCAAGAAGTTGAGTCTTCATGGGGTATGTAGTCTTCATGGCGGATTATGCCTCATTACTCTAGGTTGAGTTTGGTTCATTGATTTCACATTTGAAGATGACCATCGAAGCTTCTATTGCTCATTTTTGGAGATTGGTTTTACATGAGCTTTATACACAAGAAGGTATTCCACTACTTGATGATGATTAAGTTGCCACATTTTCTCTATTGAGTATTCCCAAATCTTCCCTTGATGATCCGGTTGTCTTTCATGTGGTTGGTCGAATTTCGGATGCAATGCTTAATTTGGTATCTCCTACCAATAAGCTTAATTAAATACAAAGATTCTATGGATCCAAAACCAATTGGTGTTCTTCTTAAGAGGGTTACTTTTGAAGATATAGAGGGATTTTCAAAAGCATTTAGCGTATAAATAAGAAGAAGTCAACTGCGAGACCTAAAGTAGTTGAGAAGGAGGTGTCTCAACAAAATGTGTCTCAAAAGTCAGGAAAGGGGGTTCTTACAAAAACACTAGAATTTGTTCATGAGAAATCTAATAGTGTTGTTTTTGAGAAGCAAATTGCCAAGGTTCCCGAGGAGGTTCCTACTCAAGAGGGTGAAAATCCAACTTAAGTGGTTGTGTCTATGAAGGCTAAGAAGATAAATTTGAAGGTACAAAAACTAAAGGTGTTTCTACTCCTAATTCTCTAGATAAAAAGAAGCGAAAAGCGTTTGAAGTATTGTAGAGATTGAAGAAGTTTATGCCTTATCTTGTCGAAACACTAATGACGAATGTTACGATTAAGATAAAATATGATAGCGAAGCCACAGAAGATGGATTGGATGGTTCATTTCATGTTTCAACTAGGAAGGATACCTTTGTCAAATCCAACTTCGAGGAGACAAATATTCCTGATGTCCATGTGAACTTATCTAATATCGATGCAAACATCAATTATGGTTGATCAATAATCACTTCACTCCTAGAGAAGACAACTGTCACACCATTCGAGGTTTTGCATTCCAAGTCCAATATGAAGTAGGACGAAACATCAAACATCAATGTGAACTTATCTAATAAGGACGAAAATGTTAACATGGGTGATGGGAGTTCAACGTCAACCATCGGCACTACAACTATTCTACCACCACCACCTTCGTCACCACCACCAATATCTACCATTTCACCTACATCCATATCAGATGTATCACCAAATTTTTAAGGGGTGATGAATGAACCTATTGCATATTCATTTTCCTCTGAATCCACAGAGGCTGAGAAAACTTTTAATGAAGAAGAAGATGAAGATGATATCATGGTTGCCTTTGCAGATTTGGAATTTAATCCAGATGAAGACGATGTTCCTGATAATGCCATCATGTCTAGTAAACTTCAAGATTCTAAATTCCAAAATGAATTTTATTCTTCAATTGTTGAATGATAGTGTTGGGAAGTCATCTGTTAGTGGGGCAGATGTCGAATGTTTGTTAAAATCTCATGAGTCTCGCACAAGGACTCTAGTTGAAGATGTCGATAAACATATTGATGAAATGTTGTCTACTCATTATCGTAGTTTTGATTATGAACTTCCAAATTCTCATGATGCTATTCATGAGTGTCATGTGATACTTGAGAAGTTGGTGACTGATTCAAAGGATTCTATTGAGTTGAAGATAAAGGAGTTCACTAAATTATTTTCAAAAGAGGTTCAGAAAACTGATACGTTTTGTGGTACTGTTACTCAGAAGGTTAGTTTGTTAACTGGAGGTACAACTCATTTGGTGGAGGATATTTATTCTTTCAATACAGTTACTCTGGTGAACTGAAGTTAAAAAATGAAGCAGATGGGAATGTGTTTGATAGAATTCAGAATTGCCTTGTTAGTTTTCAAGAGACTATCAATTTTGATTTCAAATCTACATATTTGATTTCCTAATAATCTCTTTCGACTATGGTCTCATCAGTCGAATCTTGCTTTCTGTCAGAATTGGCACCAAATCTTGACCTCGTACTTCGACTTCCAAACAATGCTCCACTTTCTGCGAATGTGTCACAAGGGGAAGAAAGGGGGATTGGTTCGCCCAAAGGAACTGATGAAGACAAAAGCATAGTTGTAGGGAAATCCATGTCTACTCAAATTCCCACTTTACTACCAATGAAAACTATAGTGAGAACATCGACAATAATAACTACTCCAAATGCCAATGTCGACTTATCCAATTTGCAAAAGAATGGGACAAGTATTAGAGAAGGTGGTTCGAGTTTTGTGTTGGATTAGGTATATAAGCCAATAACTAAATTGGTATAATCTTGAATTATTAGCAAAGTTTTTTGGGTTGCCCTCAAACCTAGTAATTGATTGGATTGTTATTTGGGGAGAGAGAGAGAGAGAGAGTTATTTATTAATTTATTATATAGTTAATAAATTAATTAGAAATCAAAATAAATGATTTATTAATATATTATGAGAATAATATATTAATTAGAAATAGTATGGTTTAATTAAAAATTAACTAGATATTAATTAGAATTAATTTTGGGGTTAATTGGATTAATTAAAAGTGGAATGGCTAAAGGTGACAATGTTCAAAAGTTTAACATTGACCAATTCTAGAGCATCCCTAGGAGGAGGGATGAAATTCTAGTTGGTTATAGTATTTCTTGATGGTTTCTAGACCTTTTATTGGGCTCTAAGGAAACTTGGATGCCTTAGGGGGAAAGCAAAAGAGATAATGCTTATCTAAGTAAATTGCCTTATGCTTAGCCTCTCTATCACCTAGATAAACCCTCCTAAGGGTTCACAATTTCATTCATCCCTTCTACAAGAGGTAGAAACGAGAATCCTTCCCCTCCTCCTCTCTCTCCTTTTTAGCCTCCAATTTGCTAGGGTTTGGGTGTGAGCCATTAGAGGCACGAGTTTTCTGGTGCTTGCTTTTTAAAGCTAGATCAAGAAGGTATAATTGTTTATTTACTACAATAAACATAAGGTAAGTATTTTCTAATAACCTTAGATTTTTTGAATGTTACACGTTGGTATCAAAGCCATGGTTTGAGGGATTCAGACACATTCTCGGATATGTATTAACTCAAACTGAGGAATTAGTAATCTTTTGAGTGAATTGATTAATAGATTGGCTTGATATGTGATGCCTTGTGGACAAGGAGAATTGGATGATATGCTATACTTGGAATCTATATTTGTAGAATTGATTAATAAGTGTATGCTTTAAAAAAATTATAAGATTAGGATCATATTTCCTATATTGTGTATAATTTGCACACCTAAGGCAACCAGAAGTGATAGTGGAATTTTCTAGCATGGGTTGTAGTAAGTGAGCTTGGGATGTTCTTTTTTTTTTGTTCTGTGGTTTGGAGTGTTACTGAATAAAAGCTGGTTGCTTTGTGCTTTGTGGGGCTTGTATTAATGTGAGCTAATTACTTCATGAATATGTTAAGTTGCATGACGAAAAGGTTAATCAATCTCAGAGTGATAGATTTGACCTTATTGCCAAGCTCTTGTCTGATTCCAACCGTTGTAGGGTTGAATCTATTACTCAACAGATTATCTAAGCTTTATGGGATGTAATTGTATTTGTGAAGCATCTAGCTAAAATTAGTAGGAGTTCTTCAGCAGATGATGACAGGGTGAGTTTGGAACCTAGGAAAGCCCAGGAAATGTTTTAGTGGGTTTGGTTGCACTGTATAGCGAGTACTAGGAGTATCGATTTGAAAAGGTGACTTGGAGGATTTAGGATAACTCCCGTGGAAAGTTTTGATGGGTGTGGAAGGTAGTAATGGGCCCGTACTACTGAAAACACATGATCCATACTCGAATCGAGGGGAGTTATGGAGAATCTAGGAAGCCTGTGGATGAGGATTTTTGGGTATGTTCTAATTATTGTATGGTGATGAGCACTCGTGGAAGAGGATCTGGTTCAGGCTCGGGTACTGGCACTGATTCGATTGATGAACGAATGTCAGAGTTCATCTTGTTGGAGATCACCCATAGTATTTTGGAGCAGACACTTGTAATCTTCGGTTCGGTCAAAGAGGGGATCATGAAGATTTTAGATGAGCATCTGCGCACGTTCCGCACTGAAATTATGGATATTTTAGGGGCTCTTACTCTTTCCTTCTTTGATTTTCATGCTTGTGGAACTCCCAATTTCTTTGGGGAGAAAGACCTTATCGCTAGTAAGAGGTGGTTAGCGGATATGGTGAAAGCTTTCTGGATGAGTTTCTGCCCCGAGTGGTCGAAGGTCAGATCTGCTTCTTGTTATTTGAAAGTCAGAGCTCGAGATTGGAGGGAGGAGGTAGATTTCTCTTTGGGAGGCGAAGCCATTGAGATGATGACTTGGGATGAGGTTGTTAATTGGTTTAGGGTGGAGTTTGCCCCAATCATTGAGGTGCAGTAGTTGGCAAGGAAGTTTCAAAACCTTCTCCAGACGACTGGGACTATGGGAGAAATCACTACCAAGTTTAAGGAAAGGGCTCATTTGGTTCCGCAGTATGACGCATACAAGGAGATGAAGAAGAGAAGGTACCACAATATGTTTCAAGGCGATATCCAAGAATTTGTTAGCTTTTCAGCTTGACAGACTTTCGAGGACATGATAGCTAGAGCCCGAGAGTAGGATGTTGATTTGGAGCACCTTGGAAAAAGGAAGTCAGAGCATATTTAAATCGTAGTGGGCCAGACGAGGAGGCCCAAGACTAAGGATTCGCTTTTGGTGCGCCATCAGGATCAGGGCCGTCAAGCTAAATGTGGGAGGACCCAAGAGGGTGGTTATTGGGAGATAGGAAGAAGATGTTTTGGTGTTGGCCAGATGGGTCATTTCAGCAGGGATTGCCCCTGTGGATCGGTTCCAATGTGTTTTAACTGCAACCATGTGGGCCATAAGAAGGCCGACTGCCTGATGTTGTGGGGTGTAGCAGTGTGTGCACCTTCTCTAGTTACTTTGAGGATCACTGATGCTCACGAGGGCAGAGTATATGTTCCAATGGTGAGGAGTTGAGCATTGCAGTCATATGTTGAGGAGATATGAGTTCCATTAGTTGATGTCACATGTATGTGATGTTTTCCTTCCTTCATGCTCTTGTTGTTTGTATTGGTGATGGTATGTTGTATGTGAGACGCTATGTGTGGGTTATCTAAGTCTCCACCTCGAAATTAAAATTCTCATCATGATGGTGTAGACATTTTATTTTGAGAATCTTCATATGCCATTTTGGAAACCGAGAGTCGTGCATAGAGGATATTTGGGTGAGCCGGTTTTGGATTTCGATATGGGATGCATTGACAACCATCAGAGAAAGCTTTAAATGAAGGAAGACTAGCATCCGGTTCGATCTTTGGTGGTATCAGCAAGGAACTCAAGGAATCTGCAAGTTAGGCATGTTGGGTTTGAATGTAGGTTCTGTAAGGGTCTTTCAGGGATACGAGGCAATGATGAAATCTATCAAGTAGTCAGACTGCAAGATAGATTGGAAATCTATCAATTTTGTGGTTGAAAGATCGTATTTGAATCCAAGTGTGGGAGAATGACTTGGACTAAGGGATTATACATGGAATGTGATTCCAGGTTACCTTGCACATTAGTGGTGGCGCATGGTGGGTATGTGATTAGGTTCAGGTGAGTGATCGTGTTAGACCCTCTCTGCCTATTATTTTCTGATGAAGGGTTTAGGGTTGAAGCATAACCCGAAACACCTAATTGGGGTATAACTAGATGTGGTTTCAACACATGATGATTATGGTTCGTATGATAGAAGTGTTGTAAGACTATGGGGTGGCCGTAACATTCACCAGGTTGGCAGATAGTGATAAAAGTGTTGTAAGATTGCGGGGTGGACGTAGCATTCACTAGTTTAGCAGGTAATGGTAGAAGTGTTGTAAAACCATAGGATGGCCGTAGTATTCACTAGGTTGGTAGGTAGTGATAGAAGTGTTGTAAGACTGCGGGGTGGTCGTGGCATTCACTAGGTTAGCAGGTAGTGATAGAAGTGTTGTAAGACTGCGGGGTGGTCATAGCATTCACTAGGTTGGTAGGTAGTAATAAAGGTGTTGTAAGACCGTGGGGGTGACCCGTAGCATTCACTTGGTCTATGTGTAGCTATGAGAGTGTGGTGAATCTATAATATGGCTCGTAGTTTCATATAGGTGGGATTAGACCATGGCAGGATGGGTAGTGAGACAGTGGGAAGGACACATTAGTCATGGAACCAAGGAAGGTTGCGAGCTGTATCGGGCCATTCGTGATGTAGGTTACATTGCATTGGTGTGATAGATGGTTATGATACCCCTAATTAGAATAAGAGGGTTGTTGAAGGCTTATATACAAGTAGGATAGAGCAGATTTTCCAGGAAGACTCTTGGATAGAGACTCGTGGTTTAGTCATTTGAAAGGATGCCGATTTCAGCAACCGGTCGGAAATCTAGTGCTTCGGATAATTTGTAGATCAGCTCGGAGCTCAAAAGTCTTTTGAGGGATCCAAAATGCGAATGTTGTTCAACGGGATAGTTTAGGGCCATAAGGATTTTGTTCAGATTAGATTGCAAAGTGGATCCATATTGACTATGATTGAGAATGGTTTTGTATGTCACGTAGTCAGATAAGGTATTGGATTCCTTGATTTGAGCTGAGTAGTGATGCTTGTCCTTTATTGGTTAAGGTCAACCGAAACAAGGAGTCATTCGTCGTCAGTATGTGAGTTTTGTTAAGGTAAGTTGGCGAGTCTCCAACCATCCCTAGATCGACGGCCAAAGCAAGTGGATGATTCAGATGCTTGAAGATCTGGTCCATGCTTGTGTACATGATTTTGGAGGGAATTGGGATACTTACCTTCCACTGGCCGAGTTCTCCTACAACAACATTTATCACGCCAGTATTGATTGACCGTCATTTGAGATGTTGTATGGAAGGAGGTGCATGACCCCCGTATGCTGGGGGGAGGGTGGAAATTGAGTCATGGGGAATACTGAGGTTGTACTCAAGACCACTGAATTGATTCAGCTGGTTCACAATAGGTTGCGAGTCGTGCAAATCTGGTACAAGAGTTATGCAGACCGACAACGTTCGAGCCTTGAGTTTCAGGTAGGAGACTTGGTGCTTTTGAAGGTGTCACCTTGGAAAGGTGTCATCTGATTTTGAAAGTGAGACAAGGTGAACCCCAACTCCATTGGTCCTTTTAGGATTTCAACCCTGATGGGCAAGGTTTCCTACCGATAGGATTTGTCTGGTGAGCTCAGCCATATCCATAACACCTCCATGTATCCCA